CAATCCGCCTAGCTTTGGATGGATGGTAGATTTGAGATTCCTTTAACCGTAACCGAACCACCAAATCGCGAGCACCCCTAATAATTTGTAAGACATTGTATTTTCAATTTGTTTAGATATTCTATTTGTGTTTTCAATTGAAAAAGAGTTTAGATATTCTTATGTTTTTAATTTGGAAATCCTTTTATCAAATGGAAAGTGTTGATAGTTGATATTTTTGTGTGGAAAATATAAGACTTAATTTTGTCATTTAAAAAAAACAATTTAAATACTTTTTGAATAAAAAAAATAGTAATGAAATAATTTTGACAATGCATGGTTTTCTTATATGTATTTATTATTGGCATTTGACAATTTACTTGATAATCTTTTGATTATGTTGAGTTGGATTGTTATCCAAAAAAATATTGACAAATTGCTGTATTATGTTCAAAATTTATAAAAGTTTAAACTGCCAAACCGATTCACATCCATTCGCTAATCCACTCAATTTGTATCCACCAATCTGGCAGATGGATGCAGATTGATTTTTTCAATCTGCCAATCCGGCAGACAGATGGCGGATTGAAGGCTCTCCGGCTGCAATCAAACTGCGAACACCCTTAGCTGAAAGGGAAAAGCTCTCTTCTATATTTCATCCCTTCATACCCTTCTTGTGAAAGATTTAAGTAGTGATTTACGACGACAAAGGAAAAGGAAAAATTATTTTTTTTTTTTCAAAATTTTCTTTTCGTTATTTTTTATTCATGAATCTCTTTTGAAATTTAACACAACGTAAATGTGACAGTTTAATAAAACGTTTATTAAATGTGATAGTTTTTTAATATAAGGGACATTACTTAAAAATAAAATAAAATAAATAAAAAAGATGACAGTTTATAAAAATTCATAGTTTTTGAATATGAGGGCATTACTATAAAAATAAAAATAAAAATAAAAAAAAAAGAAAAAAAAAAGTGGTAGTTTATGAAAATTCATGCATAGACCTTATATAATAAAGAGAAAATTGTTGAAAAATCCAAGCTAAGGAAGGTATAAGACATTAGGTCCACTGAATTTTTTTTGTTAGTGAGAGATTCATCTTTTATGAAATAGTTTGGTGAAAAGTCATTTTGTTTATTTTGAAGAACATTTTGTTTCCAATTTTATCTCTTATTTTATCTGTTAACTTTTTTTTACGATCTGTTCAAATTTTTATCTATTTGTTTAAATTTTTTTCTATTAGTTTAAATTTTTTTGACTATCTGTTCAAATTTATACCTATCTGTTGAATTTTTTTCCCTTAATTGTTGAATTTTTTCTTCTATCTATTCAAATTCTTTATTCTTGAGACAATATGTGTTCAAATATGTGTTCTTTTTTTATTATTTGTCATTATTTTTTCCTTATCTGTTCAATTTTTCCCTTATCTGTTGAAATATGTATTAATTCTTATCCATTACAATTTTTAACAAATAGGTTTAAACAAATTTGTTAACCTATCCGTTAAAATCATAATTCAAGTATCTTATCTGTTAAACAATTCCACTCTTCAACAATTTTTCAAAAGATAAGTTTAATAGATTTGAAACAATTCTAATCTCAAACAAATTTGCTAGGAATCTTTATCCATTACAGATCTGTTTCATGATCAACAACATTCATCATCATCATCATCAATATCGACCAACAATCAATCATCAACAATCAATAACTATAAAAAAAAGGGGGGGGGGGGAAAGATAAATAGAGAAAGAGAACAAATATGCTTCTCTATTTATAACTAATAATAATAATAAAAACCATGTTGTGTCAAACGATCTCAGATCGAGAAAGAACGAATTTTAGATCTAGATCTCCAATTCATCATCGCCGATCTTAGAGTGTTCAAGCAATTCATCATCGCCGATCTCAAATCTAGATCACTCGGCGATGCTTGCATCGAAGCTCTATCATTGCGGATCTCAAGTCGTCTTCTTCACACAAAGCCAATTATTCTCTGAATTGTCTCTACCAACGGGCTTCGACCTTGGCACCTTGACCTCTATAACCCTAACAATGCATACATCAATACATATTTATACACAAAAACAGAGAAAGAGAAATGAAATGGTAGAGAGAGATGAGAAGTAGCTGTAATGAATGGCGGACGCTTGGTAGGAAGGATTGATTGGGCCACTGAAGAAACCATATTCGAAGAGCGAGTGTTCGATACCTCACCTCTATTCTAGTTTGAGTTCAAGTTATGTGTAGAAGAAAAGGATGAAGAAGCAGTTCCTGATTACCATAAATGATAAAGCCTATAGAGCTTCTCATCGGAGTGAGATTTGTAACAGGGTAGTATCGAACCAGATCTAAGGCGGGGGATTGCAAATCTGAGGCGGCAGAGTTTGATAACACGGAGGAGGATCAGATCTGAGTCATCATCATCATCACAGAGAGAAAGAGAGAGAGAAAGAGAGAGAGAAAGAGATCATCAGGCGGCGCTGAGTAGCGTTACGGTGGTGTCGCGGAATCCACACTGAAGAAGATCGGCAACGGTTGCAGTGGCATTAACCGGAGAGAGGCAGTGATCGGAGAACGTGGAGGAAGTGACAACAATGATCACAATAGAGAGAGAGAGAGAGAGAGAGATAGAGAGAGAGAGAGAGAGAGAGGGATGTAATAATGGCTCGGCCCAAACGGGCCTCGCGGGCTCCCTTTTTTTAGCAGGTCGGCCCATACGCCGAAAGGTGGGGCCTAGGCCCAAGCCCAGGCCCACTCATAATAAGGCCTAGGGCCGGGTCGGTGGGACTAGGCTAGGGCTGGGCCGATGGGACTAGGCTCGGGCCGCTGCAAGCCGAGCCTAGTCGGGCCTTTTTTTTTTTGGTTGAAAAAATAAACGATAAATACATTATCTATGTAGATTATTTAGTAGGGATAAAAAAATTAAAAAAAAATTATACTAGAGTATTTTAGTTAAGATTAATGAGATGTTTTGTTTGGTTATGTTTCATGGTGGTATTTAAATTTAATTATGTATGATTTATGTTTTTTTTTTTAGGGTAAATTACACTCACCTCCCCTAAGGTTTCTGACAAATATAGGGACCTCCCCTGTAGTTTGACTAATTACAAAAACCTCCCTTGCTTTACCTAACATTGTCAAGATTCCCCCTATGTGAGCCTCTGTTACCCCAGGTAACAGAACCTACTGATGTCATCACCAATAAAGCCAAAAATACCAATACTGCCCCTGGGGCAGTTGATCTTAGGTATGTGTACCAAGCACAACACAAAGCTCCACAATGCACAATTCAAAAATTCCAAGTTAAGAGCAAAACCAAAAAGGCAGCCAGAAGTGAAAGAAAGAAGCACAAGTCAGAGCTCCAAAACCAAGCACAACACAACTATTTAACTATTATGTAAACACCATAGAGCATCATGTATGTTCAATTACAACATTCCACTATGTGCACAAAATATAAATATAAACACCAAATGAATATACTTCATACCCACTTCAAAAAAACAAAATTACACTCACCTCCCCTAAGGTTTCTGACAAATATAGGGACCTCCCCTGTAGTTTGAATAATTACACAAACCTCCCTCGCTTTACCTAACATTGTCAAGATTCCCCCTATGTGAGCCTCTGTTACCCCAGGTACCAGAACCTGCTGATGTCATCACCAATAAAGCCAAAAATACCAATACTGCCTCTAGGGCAGTTGATCTTAGGTATATGTACCAAGCACAACACAAAGCTCCACAATGCACAACTCAAAAATTCCAAGCCATGAGCAAAACCAAAAAGGCAGCTAGAAGTGAAAGAAAGAAGCACAAGTCAGAGCTCCAAAACCAAGCACAACACAACTATTTAACTATTATGTAAACACCATAGAGCATCATGTATGTTCAATTACAACATTCCACTATGTGCACAAAATATAAATATAAACACCAAATGAATATACTTCATACCCACTTCAAAAAAACAAAAGTGGGTACATCATCTGAGACTATTTGTTGCTATGCTTAGTATGTCATGTCCACTACAAAAATACAAAAAGTGAAACATGATCTGAGACTAACTGTGCACTACATCAATATGTGTTATATACCTTAAACTTGTGATCAGAACTTGTACCAAAAACATCATCATCTTAGCTAAGTCATCTGCAAGAAAAAATGGAAAAAAAAAAAAACCTTTTTTCAAAATTCAGGCAATGAAAAAGAAGAAGAAAAAAAAATTGTAACTTCACAGAGCACAAGTAAGAAAAACTTACATGTGCATGCTTGGCCTTGGCCTTGCCCTTGCCCCTGCCTCTTCCAGTTGAACTTCCTTTCCTACTTGATTTTTCTCTCCTAGTTGAATGTCCCCTCCCAGTTGAAGTGCCTTTTCTAGTTGAAGTGCCCCTTTCAATTGAAGTGCCTCTCACAAAACCTCTACCCCTATCCACAGTTGTGTCATTGCCCTTACTAGCACTTGCGCCACTGCCACTAGCTCCACCGCTTACTGGACCTCTTTGGCAAGTTCTCTTATTGTGTCCAAATTGCATGCACAATTTACATCTCAATGTACTAGACCTCTTACTTTGACTTGTTCCAGCTGGAGGCTCATGAGCAACCCTCTTCCTAGCATTCCTTGGCCTTCCTGGCAATCTTTTCAGAGGTGGGGGTTGTAAAGGGTCCCCAGGTATAAGTGTCCACATGGTATGGTCTAAGGTGAGATGTATTATCCCACTATTGGCTCTCAAGTAATTTTGCTTAGAGTAGTACGGGTGGACAAAATCTTCTATGGCAATCTACTATGACAAATTGCAGTCATAGCATGTTTGCATGGGCGCCCAGATATTTTCTACTCTCTACATACACAAGTCATCATTCCAAGATGGACAATGTGATTCACCCCTTCATTATCCTTGACCTCATACTCATGACCTCCAGTATACTCTACTCTGCAATATCTTGATATTTCAGTGTGGCCTCAAGTTGTTTCTTGATGTTCAAAGTGACATTAGACTTCCATTCTAGTGCCTTCTAATATCTCATCTGAAACTTACCCTTCAACTTGCACCTTATGTTCTCCAACATGGTTAGAATTGGCTGGCATCTCATATTTCCTAACCAATTATTGAAGGACTCTATCATGTTATTTGTGATGTGATCACACCTTATCCTATCATCAAATGCATGCCTAGACCTTCCTTCAACTGGAACTTTTTGCAACCATGTGAAAACATCATTTGAAATTTCCTTAATGGATTGCATAGCTTGATCATACTCTTTCTCATTGTATGCCCTTATAGCCTTCCAGAATTGCTTCCTTAATATCAATCTAGGAAATTTGGCCCTGAAATTGTTGAATAAGTGCATGCAACATCTTCTATGAGTAACTTCTGGTATAATGTCACTTACAATCTTGTCAAGGCCCTGTACACACAAACAATGAAACATTAGTAAGCATTATAAGTATAAAAATATAGGACAATGCATTATGTAAGTAAATCAATTGCTAACTATGAAAGTAAATTACCTTTTGTTGATTAGACATGATGGTCCATGGCCTAGAAGGCAGTGCATCTTCTATGATTGTTCTCAAGTTCTCCAAAAAGAAAGTCCAACTATCCTTACATTCACCCTCCACTACTGCCAATGCCAATGGAAACAAACTATCTCCATCCAAGGCAACTGCTGAAATTAACACTCCACCATAAGGACCCTTCAAGTGACAACCATCCACCCATATGATGGGCTTACATCCATCAATACACCATTTTTTCATTGCCTCAAATGATATGAAGATCCTTTGGAACAATGGATGCTAAGGAATAAGGTTTCGTTCTTCTTCATTTTCTGAGACTGAGGTAGGAGGCAAGTCATAATTTATGACGGCTAAGCTACCAGGGTTTGTTTTCTTAATTTTCTCAACATATGTTGGTAGCAACACTTACTGGCTCCTATGATCACCTTCCAACTCCTCCTTGCACCTCTTTTTGGCTCTATACAATTGCATTCTTGAAGCCTCAATTCCAAATAGTTTGTTAAGCTTCACTTGCATAGTATCAAACCCCATGTGTGGATTATCCTTAAAACTGTCAACCAATTTCTTGGCAATCCAAGTTAATGTTGCTTCACTATTTTAGTTCATCCTACTACATGTGTGATCAGGTACCAAGGTTTTGATCTTGTAAGTGATCCCCTCTAAAAGAGGAGATGCATGAATCCTCTAAGGGCATCCAAATGCAGCACAATGGGCTGTCACTCTGGCTTTCTCATTTTTGTCCCTCACTATCTTAAAACTAGTCTGCACTATATAATCCCTCAATGTAGCTCTAAACCTATGCACATCTGGAAAAATCATTCCATTTTCTAATACCACTTCTCCTTCTTGATTGAAATACGGTTCTTTTCTATTGTAGGTACTATCAAATTGGTTGTTTGGATATGCCATCTCTTCATCATCCATCCAGCCTACTTCACCATCAAATTCATCATCACTGGTAGAATATCTTATTTCATCATCACTAGATTGGTAATCACCAAGTACATCATCATCATCTTCATTTGACTCCTCGTTACCCTCATCACTCAAACTCTCAGTGCCATTTGATTCATGTTCATCATCAACAGTTGCATTCTAATTCCTATCTTCATCACTAAACCCATAGACATTGTCCTCATGGTACTCTTCATCTACATCTACAGTATGTACTCCATCACCTCCACTATTTTCATCTCCAACATCATTTCTATCTCCACCATCTTCCATTCCAAGAGAATATGTAATATCAACATATAAGTTAATTGTTTTACTCCTACCTTGCACATAAAACATATCCAACACATCACTATCATTTTCTATTAATCTTTTATTCTCAGTACCATGCATATCACAATGCAATGTGGTAGCTATTGCTTCACTACAAGTAATGTGAGAGAGGACTGTTGCAGTCACATCCTTCAAGGCATCAATGTAGCAATACATATTTGGGTCCACATAATATACTCTGCCCATTTTGTCTTTATAGTTGATGATTAGATCAAAATAAGGGAATATAGCCATACTGTGATCACAATGAGTAACAATTAATTACAAAAAACAACTCCATTCAACAATTAGAGTCACCCAAATATAACAAAATTCATAAGCAGAAGACATAATAATAATAATAATAATAATAATAATAATAATAATAATAATAAAAGCTCATATAATCATAATTGCATAACAAAAAGAATAAAAAAAATCCTTAAATCATTATTCAAAGAAAATTAAGAAGAAAACTATTTTTTGCAATAAATTAACAAAACCAAATCCCCACTTTCATAACAAACATAAATAAAAGTTCATATAATACAATCATAATTGCATAAATCAAAAATCATAACAAAAAGAAGACAAAAAAAATATTAAAAAAAAAGAAGAAGCTTGGCCAGATGTCCAGCAGGACATCCCCATGGATGATCGGTCACCCAACATCTCCCAGCCAGACTGCTCATCCGTTCATAAAGGCCTACAAATCCAAAAGAGACTACAAATCTAGAGTTCCAAAATCAAAACAAACATGAGCTAGATGGACTGCTTGTAACAACCCTCACCTTGCTCTTGTCTTACTTGCATACATTCCTGCATGATCTTGCTTTGTTACGATAATTTGAAGGTTTTGTCTTGCCTTGTTTTGTTAGTATTACTTGCGTGATCTTGTCCCTCGTTCGGTGTGTGTGTAGCCGAGGTCATCTTGAGCTTAGTCCGCCTTTGAGCCTTGTACTTAGAACTATTTTGAGATCTTGTTCAACCCCATCTTCACCTCGGGCATTCATTGCCGAGATGTTTCGCACTTAGTGAACCTTGTCCTTGGGCAGGTATGGCCTAGGCCGAGATGTGGCACACCCCGGCCAAGGTGTGGCACAGCTTAGTCAAGTGTCATCCTCCCTAGCCGATGTTTTGTCACCCCGTTGCCTTATCCTTGATTTGAGCCGATGTCATCTTATTGCCGATGCATCTTGCCGAGCTTGCTGCATACGCTTTGTCAGAGACTTGTCTTGTCTATCAATCACCTTTTTGAGTTGAACCAACCCGATAGCGCCACGTGTCCGAGCTGATTGTTAAGGCAGCCGGCAGACATTGAAACAAATCATTCTTGGTCTCAATCTTTGTTTTAGAGAGAGAAGCTCTAGAGAGAAGGAAGAGGAGTTCTTGAGTGAGAGTGAGTCTTCCAAGCTTAATCTTCGTGGTTTGAACCGTTGGATTCAAGATTTGGGGTAAGATTCTTGATCTACTTTGAATGTTGTTATGGATTATCTAGCTGCATTGCATGATCGGATCTGTTTTGCATGTCATGCATCGATTTGAAGTTGGTTTTGGAAAGAGGAAATGGTTTTCCATATGTTCTTGAAGAAAGTCTCGTTTTGATCGAAAAAGTTTGGAACGAAAACCATGTCTTGCGTTTGTTCTTGCATGACTTTCTTGAATGGGTACCCAGGTCCATATATTTTGAACTCTGAATTTACTGGGAATTTACAGAGAATTCACTGGGAATTTACTGAGGATTTTTGTAACAAGTTGTGAGCTTGCATCCATCTTTCAAATGATCATGTTCTTCATATTCTTCAAAGGAAAACCTAGGTTTTTCCTGACTTTGTTTAGCGGGACCTCGGCATAGTCCTGGACGGTACCCAGTGTGTTTTCATGAAACGGGAGCAGTGGTTAAGCTTCCAGCTTGTTTTGCTTTGTCTTTGACTTGGATCTGGCAAGAGTGCCGAGATCATTTGCATGTATATAGAGCTTGCTTTGAGAATGTGACTTGCCATGTGATTGTAGGTCCTTGATATTTGCTTGAGTCTACCCCTGAAGAACTAGGTGAGTGGTATTTCTAATAAAGCTATGTTACACTTGCTTTTGATAAATCTTGTTTTGTTTGTTTTGACGTGGTATTTGCTAAGCATGAATAAATGGCCTTGTTTGATTGTTATCCTCGGAAAGTCCCTTGTGCTGGAGGACTCTAAACTTTCGCAGTACTAAGTATGAAAGGATACGGTCCTTGTTAAATCGGGCTACGGGCCTAAGTAACACAAGTCCCTTGTACTGGAGGACTATAAACTTTCGCAGTACCTTTGACCAAACGATTACGGATCGTACAACCCTTAATACTTGAATGATGAATACGGTTCATCCCTTGCTTCGCCGATGTTATGATACTTGAATGATGAATACGGTTCATCCCTTGCTTCGCCGATGTTATGATACTTGAATGATGAATACGGTTCATCCCTTGCTTTGCCTATGACAGTAAACATCTTTGGATACTTATAATATTTGATTGATGAATACGGTTCATCCCTCGTCTTGCTAAAGTTGATGTGTTTCGTTTTGAAGGACCTCGGCTATATTCATGCAAAACCTTTATTATTAGTACCATTCACTGAGTATTTGTACTCACCCCTCTATATATATGTAGGTGATGAGCAGGACGGTGGCGACGCCTAGATCGTTTTGGATGCTTGTTTGGATTCGTACTTATGTCGGCTTTGCTTTTGTATTTACGTCGGCGATGCCCTGCTTTGCATGTCGGCAAATCTTGAAAATCATGCTTCTTGACTTGTATTAGCTGTACTTTTGTATATGCCGGCTCGAGAAGCCTTTTGATCAAGATGTAACATGTATTTTACCTTGTTGTATTCAAGTTGTAAAGTTAATTGAAAATGTTTGGCATTTCATTTGATCTATGCACGGCTCTTATGGACCACTTGTATTTGATTCATTGCTTCCGCATTTGTGAGCCCCCTATATCCATACTCTGATTGTGTTAAGTTTTTGAAAAGTTGGCCTTCGGTAATTACGGATTACTGGCCATCACGGCACCAAACTACTAGGGGCGGTTTGGGGTCGTGACACTGCTACTCTAGAAAACAAACAAGGATGAAGTATGAAAGAACTAGACTGCTACTCCATAAAACAAATGGGGACGGTGTATAAAAGGTTTGAAATCTTATTTGGATGCCCTAAAACCTACTTCTCACCGATCAATCTCTTTCATATTTTGCACTGGCAACGATGATCTCACCAAAAACTCAAGCTTCTTCATCGTTTGTTCACACCGATCAGTCTTCTTCAAAGATTTCGTCTCTTTCTCTCTTTTTTTTCTTCCACAAATTCAATCGAAATCAAAATAGATAGTGAATTAGGGATTTAGGGTACAAAGGTTATTATCGTCTTTTTGCTTCAAAGCAAGGGTAATAAGGTCGTTTAATATATGTAAGTAACGTCGTTTGTGCCAATTTAATATGGGAATCTTGACAATATCAAGTAAAACATGGGAGGTTTGTGTAATTATTCAAACCACAAGGAAGGTTCTTGTATTTGTCAGAAATCTCAGGGGAGGTGAGTGTAATTTACCCTTTTATTTATGAACTTATACTTAAAAAGTATGCAATTATGTAATTTTTTTTTTCTTTCGAAATGAATAATTTTATATATATGAAAATGAAACCTTCAATATTAAAATATTAAATTAATTATATAACATTTATTGAATGAATAATTTTTATTTCAAAATGAAATAAAATATTACAAAAATTTATATCATTAAATAAAATAGGTGTAGATTATTGATGATAGTAGAGCAATTGAATCACTATAGGTCAAGTACATTCCAACTAGGTTGGCACCTAATAGCCTACCAATCATTTGCTGTATACTCCACCTCAATAATCTAAAAGAAAAAAAAATGAAATGTATAGCGATCCCGGTATTCCCTTTCTTTGTTTATTGTATTCCGGACTTGGTTCCGTGGTTGTGTTGTTGTCTTATTCTCATTTTCATCCTTTACTCTTAGTATTTGGGTTTTAGGTTGTGTTGGGCAAGTTTGAAATAGGTTGGTTGAGCTTTGGTCCCCATTCTTGTTGCCCAGGTTTTTAGTGATCCGCTCGAGCGGGTCTTCTTGCGCTCGAGCGGAGTTTGCATCCTTTCAGCATTTTGTGCATCTGCAAAAATACTGCAGCTGTGTTTTTTACGCTCGAGCGGGTATCCTTGCGCTCGAGCGGGTGTTCGAAGTCTGTAAAAATACTGGACGA